CGATGTATCCGCATTGTAATTAAAGCACAATATCCTGTATGATGGGAGTTTGAAAATTTTAGAAAATTTATATGAACAGATTGTTTCTAATTCGTATATATGCTTGCAAACATATATGATGAAGTTGTATCTAACATATTCAGCGGGTGTATGAGCACATACCGTGAAGTAGCATATCCTGTATGCACTCTCGAGTACATTTTATGTTCATATGCTGATGAGTATATGCACATAATGCAGATGCGATTGAAACAGAAATGTATACTGCTATGTCCACAAAAGAATCCTTCAACTCAGCGAATGCACAATCTTACAAATACAGCTAATATGCCAATAGCAACTACTGGTTTTGTATGTACATATATGTGGATGGGTACATTTAATAAGCTGGGTTTACAGGCTACTTTCATATTAAAAGACAGCTGATTGGTAGTGCTGCAAGGAACTCGTGGTGGTATTTCCATTACCTCTATCTGTACTTGTTTCAGATTATGTGCTCACAATATAACGAATCGAAACTATGTGCATGGGACTTTGTACTTTTGCTGAGGCCTATACTGTGATCCTATTCAAGGCAGTGCCTTAGCTGGGAAGTTGGGCTGCAGCTGCAAGAGTGTAGGTTCCTGAGGATCATACAGATCGCGGGCAGACATGCCTTGTGGTGCAGGCTGGATTGCGCGCCCTGGCTATGCCTGGTTTGGAAGTCATTATAGTTAGGAGCAACATCAAGTCCAGTGTTATCTCGCAAAACACCCGCCAACGTACGACTCCCTGTGAGAATGGCCAATTTCTCGTCAAAGAGAGGGATCCCGGCTCCGCATGTTCTCAGTGTCTTAGTATACCAAAGACAATCGCCCTGTTGCAGAATAGAGAATTGCAACTCGATACCTGCACGCAAGGTGCGACCCAAACTAGACCCTTGTTCGTGTCGCTCTAGCAACATGCCTACGTACAGATCCAACTTGCCCCACCCAGTCTCACCGTATAGATTCTTCAGCTTCTGAATGGTATGCCCATTTTGTGTGATATCCTCCCAGCTGGTGACAGCATTAACAAAAGAGCCTAGGAGCCCAGTTCGTACGTCAACGTAGCTGTCTATACCCAAATCCCGACCTCGCTGGATATTACGAGCAACCAGGTCGAATGCAGTAGTATGCGTACCATCTACAAGCGCCAGATTGAATTCGAATAAGTGACTACGCAATGCCGGCACTACCAACGTGTCGATGGCTTGGTTTGGCTGGTAGACTAATCCAGCCAGGATAGGATCAATATTCATGGTGGTCTGCTTAAAAACGTGAACAGAGTCGAAAAAGGCAGTGTTAGGCCAATCACTTGACAGCAGCAAATCTTCATTGGGGTGTGTAGGTAGATCAGTAAAATAGCTTTTGCTACCAGAACCGCCCCCACCGTCAGAATTCTGTGGCCGTGGTCCATTAGGTCTTTGTTCAAGCGCGCGACGTTTTCGTGGTCTTCGTTGACCATCACCGCCTTGGCGTCCATCATCACCTTGGCGTCATCATCTTGGCGACCACCACCACCACCGTTCCGATTGACATTTCCGTTTCCTGTGTCGAATCGCCAAAACTCGTTGTTTACCATGGTGTGCCCAACTCGGAAGAAAGCACCACTGAAAATTGTCATGATGTTTGGAGATACATTAAGGTTAATGTAATCAACATCATTCTGTTTCAACTTTCGGCCTGAGAGTGCCGGAAGCCAATCCTCATATGTAATTTTCCGCATAGTAGCCTCCACCACCAATCTGGCCTCATCAAAAATGCGATTCAGGTCGGTTGTATCAGGCTCATCGACTGAAAATCTCGGATAGAGTTCATCATGTATTAATTCGGCAAGACGATTGTGCTCCCATGCAAAGAGTTTGTGAAGTGCAGTGAGTCCTGGTTGCTCCATTGTGCGTATGTCGCCGGAGTAGGATTATTCTTCATTGTATGTATTGATTCTGATAGGTAGTAGTTGACGTCTAGTTAAGGCTTGATTGTCGTATTCTTTAGTCATCTTCAGAAGAAAGCGATTCAAACCGGTGCTAGTTGTAACATCCCTAAGCTCCAAAAGTGTGCTCGAATCGGAGCCATATATATTTGAACCGTCTAGGAAATGTGTTTTAGCATTGACGTTGGATCCGTCATCGTTGCCAACGCCAGCGGCCCTTGTGAACTCCATGATCTGGCCCGGAAAATCGTGATCGTTTGCATCGCACTTTATATCCGCCCGGAGTCCACTTTCACGAGTATCTGTGAGATCATGATCGACATATTGGCCCCATTGCATTACCATGTGTGTAAGTCCGTACTCATCAAAAGCCTGCTCATTTCCCCCCTGGTAGAATATATAATTGCTGACTCTTCGAGCGGGTGGCTTGGAGAGCGAATTGGCCAAATTCGAAGCCATGTCTGGGCGAAATTGCTGAACTTCTGGCTGGAAGAAAGTATTTGACTTTCCATCTGCATCGTTGAGGTCTCCATTGTTCCCCCTAGCATCCGCACGGCGATATATGTGTATAGGACATTGACCATTGGAGAATTGGACACATATCCCCAGACTAGCAAATAGAAGTATGAATTTATGCGCAATCATAATGGGAAGTATGGTGATGTTTGCAAAACAACAGTTCGTTTTTGTGTGTGCCGCTGTGTAATGAATATGCTGTTATATCACGACAATTAAATACTCCAAAGATAGGATTTTGGCATCCTGCATTCACATCAGAGCGTCATTCCAAATTAAGGAATAAATACCTGATAACAAGGTAAAAATTCCATGGCAACCATATGATTTATTTTGAAGGTACTCTGCATCCACTATCAAAGGGTCACAGATGTTTAGTGCAAACAGTCGCAGTCAAGTCATATGAAGACTGAGGAGTGTGCGGGTTTTAGGGAAAAGCCGAAAGAGGGGGTTCCCAAACTTTGCTGTTACACACATGCATAAATACCTGTATTGGATTTAGTTCGTTTCGAAGAGGGCTAGTACTATTGATATTCAGTACCCCATAATTAAAATAAAATAAAAAGTCAAATACAGTGCAGATTGGGTTATTCATAGCCGCCTTCTATATCTTAGAAGGCTATGCTGTGGCCTTCTATTCACTTTCAGTAAACAGTCAGCTGCATTTTTTTTCTTCCAAAACGTAATCTTTTACATACTAAAACAATAAATGCCATTGTTCAATATTGAAGTTATTTAACCAATTAAAAGTATTATCCCTCTCTCACTAGTAGTAGAGAGTAGTCAGTACTCTGTAGAGCGTGTAGGAATTCCCGAATTGCCAATTGGAATGCACACAGTTCCTGTGAATCACTGATCCACAGTGAGAGGCTGAGAGGAGTGAGAGCTACGCAGGACAAATTTAATACAACTGATCTACCAATTGTTTCTATTTATACAAACAATAAAGCAAATTACATTTGGATAAAAATCACCTACATCCTACATTCCTAATTTGAAATTTCTTTGATTTCCTTCCTTGATTCTTTTGTATTGTTTAGAAACAACCCAAATGAAAAGGATTCTAGTATAGACTTTTTTTTTTAATTTGTGGTTTGCTTTTTTTTGTCAACAAAATGGTTTTCATTGTTTTGTACTGAAAGATAACATCGAACAGAAGGCATTTTGTTTAAAAAGAAAAACACAAATACTACAGAATACTCAATAAATACCTCCTATCTGGATGAATGCAAAAATCCAGAAGTCAGATACAAACTAAGAAACAGATCTCTATTCAGCCACTCTTTCACTCTGATATTCTAATATTTACTTCAAATTTGCAGCTAACAAAACATATACGATGAATCTCTCGATCACTAGAACCTAGATTTGCTATTTTCTAAACTACTTTTGTGATGTTGACTCGCAAAATGTAAGAACTCGAGTGTACAACTGGTACTCCTCCTCATACTCGACCGAGATCATTGTTTAATATCACTTTAACTGGACATCTCAAAAAATAGGCAAAGTCATACTTTCAGCTAACGAAACCACGCCAAAGACTTCTCCAGAAACGAGTAGCAGAGACAGCACGTGATACTGCAACTGATTTAGAAATTGACCTCAAGCCCTCAGAAGCAGATAAAGCAACAATCGCGAGAGTACCGGAAACTTACTTCGAGCAGACAGGTCATGTTTTTTTAATAATGTTCCCTTATGACATACAGCTAATAAATGAAAAGAGACCTTTTCAGTGCATGAGACATTCCAACTTTGCTTGCTCCTGGCAAGATTGGCATTCTTTCCAGCTTTCCATTTTGTAGATACTGGCATGAGTAGTTTAGAAATGCACCACTTGACGTAATCGACAAGGTTCATCTGTTACATAAGTAATGGGCTCTATTCGTGCTCAGCACCCGCCTGCGTATTAGGAGGAAGTTACTCTCCGCACAGAAGGAGGTATATGGTATAATAGCGCCCAGTGTGCGATACACATGAGGTAGTTGCGGAACTGTGTGCGTCTTGCGATTTCATCTCTCAAATTCATATGTGCTATTTCATCTACTCAAATCTATGTCCGCCGGGTGGCTATAACTTTCAGTTCTCTGACTATTGCTTCCTATTCCGTTTTGTCCCTCAGTTCACTTTCTGTCGCTTATGATATTCATAACCGAAACTTAGAACTCATCGTCGGAGTCGTTCTTGTTTTTTGCCGGCCGAGAAACATACGCTGAAGCGAATGACTTGTCATTGTCGCGTGTTAACACCCCTGCAAATTGTGCCAAAGGAGTTGTTATGTGTTCCGTAGGCATATATTTAAATTGCACAAGAGACCGAAATGCCACTGTGAGCAGGTCATCCATTCATCTTTAGTATAGTATAAACACATACCTACAGCATTCATATGTATACATACATGCACAAACGGAGATATACGTTCAGAGCTATGTACGAGAACAACAGTGCGCAACACACGGACATACACTTCAGAACTGTGTAGAGAAAAGCAGTGCACAACATAGGATCTCACGAACAGTCATTGGTATACGTTATACACACGGAGATATCAGTTTAGATTTATGTATGAGAACAACAGTATGCAACACTAACGCCACACATACCAGATTCAAACAACAACATCTCGAATTCCATAGTCTTGAAGTTGTCCCCGCCTTTGAATCTGTCGAAGCCAACGATCCTGTCGAGTACAGAGAAACATCAGTTGAGAATGCATACGTATAATGCTGATTGATATCTTTATGAACGCACGCAATTGCTTATACGATCTACGATGTCGGTGGTACTATAAATAGATTCAGATAAGAAAGTAAGTATTGATTTGTCCTATTAGAAAACGATAGTTCAACCATGGTGGCATAGCATGGAACACCAGGTCGAGAATACACGTGCATTGCACTATAGAGGAAATACACTTTAGCTATACAATGTAAAAGTACGTAAAGAGTACTCATGATAAAAAAAACAATGATTGGAAGGTGTGACTTAAACGTCCACCCACAGAGCAAATACTGCCAAATACCGACCCTAAATATAGACACAACAATGATAATTGCTACAAAATAAAAAGTAATTGCTATCACACCATCAAGAGCTACGTAGCTACACCAATCTTCCACGGAAAATTGCTACAACACTCTTCAACGAAGAAAAAAAACTATCAGATACCGACCACAACTAAAGAGACAACAATGGTCAAGACTACAACAAAAAGGTCATAACTATCACATCATTGAGAGTTACGTCGCCACAACAACTCGTGGTGGTTGTTTGCATTGATACACATACCAAGGCAGCTCTACAACCGCGAGAGTGAACTAAAAATATGAGGCAAACTACCAGTCGACTAACATTACATGGATTCTGAACATACCTTTCTTTTACCACTCCATTCACAAAACAGAATACGGCTGGGAGCACCTTCAAAGCCAATTTCTGCACCAAAAATCCTGAGAATGGAATGGAAAAGAAACGAGACGTTTGAGAAGATGCAAAGACGCGCCTACTTAAAAGTGACCCAGAATATGTAATAAGCGAAGAACACTCAGAGTAGGCCTGCCTGAGAAAAGATTGGGATAAGGTTAAGCAATTCACACGTGCATTTGCCTAATTGCAGCTCAAATATGCGTCTTTTTGCGCAGGTTCTCATATATACGAGCTCTTGTACATTACGTCTTGGTAAGAATCTGAGAATACACTCCCGTATGTGTGTCGAAGTACACTAGTCTATTCATGCTCCTATCTCGGACACGGAGACGCAGGTTAGTGCATTGGAGACTACGAGTTGTGCTCCTGGAAGTATTTGCAAAAGTGGTCAGCGACGCACATACTGTATTTTGGGCTAATATAAACCAGATGTTGATGCAGAGACATGTGCTAATAAGCAACTTTTGATACATTGTGTCATGGTGATAGCTTGCTTTTGAATTCATTGAGTACATATCGTCCACATCACCCGCATATGGCCTAGCAAATACTAGGCTAGGAGGCAACCTGACGTCGTGGGGGAATGAACACCTTCCAATATGACACAATATCTACTTATCTCAGAAAACTTGCATCTGGGACGTTTTCCGACCCCCCGGAAACAGGTCGCTACATAGCCAGTCTCGTATAGCAGACCCTGAACAACCACATGGAGTGCACTTATCGCGCAACGCAGCACTACGAAGTCTCAACAACGATGAAGCTTGTGTAGTCGGTGTTTCCACGCTAGGATATGTCAATGTGCAGCTGCTATATAACATCTCACCATGCCCTCGTCGCAGAAGTGGCACACCACACGAATGTATACAGAAGACCCAACCGCAGATGTACAAACGGACACAATCAGCATGTAGCTGTGTATGAAGACACTTTACTTGGGCATATATATTTGTATGGAGATACTTGGACGTCTACGACACCTATACACAACTCGCACATACCACATTCCGTAGCATCGAACTTAATGAATTTAGTGTTGTAGTGTTTCCTCGCAAGGATCTGCAGATGTGCATCAACTATTTGGCATCTCGCCATGCCCTCGACGAAGAAGTGACACACCACCCGTGACTCAGGGGCTGTGGTCAGTTTGAGAAACTCTCCTTGGTCATGTAACCGTGTATATGTGCCATGCTGTGTGAATTACAGGGGGATATCTGTGAGCTTGAGGCCCCTGATATACAAGCATACTTCAGACAATAGTAGCAAATGAAATGTCTTATACACAACGGCACTGTATGTCAGTGGTGGATTTGTGGGCGTATGATACGTGGCCATATATCAGAAGTATTAAAATACACACACCATATGTGTATTTTAGGTAGTATGCATCGATCCTGCATCAATATACAACGGTGAAATCTGGCATTGATTGAGCAATCAACTCCAGATACTATTCTTGGTTTTTAATACGATATGGCTTATACTGATACATAGGTAGTGTTGTACCTCACAAATAATGCAAGCGTAGAACACTCTCAAAGCGATATGTCGGCACGGAAGTGAAGTATGGATGGGTAGTTTGCACGTATGTGTTTAAACAATACACGTGATGCATTTCTTAGATGCGAGCTGGTACAGGCCAATGCAAGACTCTGCAGGCATACATACATAATTATTTACTTACATACATAAATCAATACATACATAAATACATACATACATACATACATACATGCATACATACATACATATATATAT